AGAGCTGTTCTTGCGGGCTACCGTCGTCTGCGACAGCATCATGAGAGCATAGCCCGTCAGGCGGCCACGGCAGCCTTTGTCCGCGATCTCGACGACGCCGTGGCGGCGTCTCGGGCCGCGGCTCGACTTGCCGATCCGACCTGGGTTGACGGAGGCGGGGCGCATGATGAGATGGTATCGGAGAGCTCGCTTCGGAGGAGCCGGACGTCGGCGGTACCAGAGATGGCGCTACGAGCCCAGCAAAGCATATGAGCCCCAGAAAGAGGGAGGTCAACTGAAGTGTATACGGGGAAAAACGTTGGTTTCTGAGGCAAATCTCACTTTCATCACGACCAAAAGAGGGTATTTGGAGAGATTAGAGGCTTGATCCCAGCAGACAACAACGACGGTGGAATCCTCCTGCCATCCCGACTTCGGAGGAAAGTGAAGAGGCCCTCATTTTTACAACTACTTCATGTCAACACGTCGAAATGTCACGTTTTTTTTACTCGTTGGCCCGAAATTGCTGTATGAATGGTACCGGAGAAGGTTGCCTCGGCAACCAAGTAGACCAGATGCTTACAGTTAGCAAGAAAAGGACTCTCTGCTGTTGTTGTCTGGCGAAAGGGTCGTTCAAATCTCTGTCTCACCCACTCTGTTTTATAACAAATGTTGACTTCGTAAATAAAGTGGCCATAGGTGGCTTGATTAAGATCCTCTCCTCAATCATTTATCAATCCTGGCTCAAGGCTGTAACATCATAAACGCCAAAATTGGGGGTCATTTTATGATTTGCCCATTACAACCAAAGCTAAATACATATTTATCCACTCTTTTCAAATCACAATTATGTTTTAACCTGACACATGGCATCACATGTATCGAATCACATTTTCGAAAGCATAGTTCAGAATTGCCTTGAGCTCAAATTATCACATGAACGAAGCTACAGTTAACTTGATGAAGTTGCTGCAAAGCCTTAATTTGCTTAAGGTGCAATGAAGCAGACTAGTTGTCAGTGAGTATTTGTTTATCTGTAGGTGCGCAAGTAAGTGAAGCTTGTATGCATAACTGTGTCTTTTAAGCAATGTCCATGGTGGAAATAGCGCCAATTTTTATTTGTATTATAGGAGCAGTGTAGGCTAGTTCTATTTTTTTTTAAATGTGTCTGAGCCGGCAGAGCATAAGAGCAGTTACATCTTTTCTATACACGCCAGCAACTGCAAATAAACGCATTAATTTCAAAGCATTATGCTGACCCAGTTTACATTTACCTGCAA